AAGTCCCCGTTTTGCCGCTCGAGTCACGCTCCTTCCTCCAACACAACAGGAGCATAAAGAACGTCCCCGGCTTTACCTCTTCTTCAGCAAAGTCAGACGAATCTCATACATTAATGCTTTTTTTATTCTGTCTTTGTGCGCACGTAGCTCCCAGTGCTGGTGCCCTGTGTGCTTTTTATAGGTGACACTGTGATCGGCCCCGCGCTGCTAGCCTCCATTACAATCGTATTGGGTTCCTCTCATCTGCTCCTATGGGCACCGTCACTGTCAGGAGCGGCTGAAGTTTAGTCAAAGACATTAAGAGATGACTGCAGGGACAAACATGAGGAGCCTCTCTGTGGTTGATGGAAGGAGGTGCTGCTGCCTCCCAGGGCCCATCCATAACTCCTGCATGTTTACAGATGACAGGTCAGCCGCACACTGGGGATTTCTGCTCTTTCTTCTGTGGAGAAATACGCTCCCACATAAAACAGGGCAAAGTCAATGCGCTCTCTTGTCCATGAGGTGAAATGTGAGGTTAAAGTTGAAGCAGACTTTGTTCTGTCTTCGGGACATCGGCGCTGAGCAGGATTTTAGTCGTAAAATAAAGAAGTATAAAGAGAAAGTAGAAGATATCAATTTGTTTACTTTGCATCAGAATCTGCTCAAACACTCCAATTTATATCCAAAAGTTATGACAACAAATAAGTAGTGTGTGTGTGTGTCTTGCGAGGAAACAGGATTAAAACAAAGTACAAACTTGCATAAAAGTGTTTTGCCTCATTAGGCATGGGAGGAAATGAGATTTTGTGTGACAATTATCAAAGCAATAATAAGTGTATCCATAAATATCCATAACCAGATATCCAATTTGTTATGTTCTGTGTTTATCAGAATAAATACAGACAAGGTTTTAAAAAACAAATAGAAATGTTGGACGTTTGAAACACTTCTTCATTTCCTCTGTTCATAAGAACGGAAAATGAGGGATGCACACACATAAAGCACACAAACGCACATAAAACACACAAACACACATAAAGCACACAAACGCACATAAAACACACAAACACACATAAAACACACAAACGCACATAAAACACACAAACGCACATAAAACATGCGGTGTAAATGGTGATTATAGATTATCTTAATTGTAAAAAAATGTCTAATAAATGATACTGAGTAGACTTTTAAAAACGATGAACAATTTTATGTATTGTCACGAGAGCTTTCATCACTTTCAGCCCGTATCATCAGATCTGTAGGAGACAGGAAGCAGGTGGCTCAGGCTCCTCCTGGAACAGTCTCTGAAAGCTCCGAGAGGCTGCAGACCCAGAGCCGAGGGACAGAGCTGTCACACTGTCTGCTCCACTGGTGTCGGCGCTGTTTAACTCCTGTCTGCCCCTGCGCTGCTTCACACACACATACACACACGTGTGCATGTGCGCTCGCAAACACACACTCACACAGACGCACACACACACAGACCTGGAAGACATATTTTTAATCTATGTTTTATACAAACATTTGCGGGTTGCTTTTATTTCACATGTGCTGGACATTTGTTCTTTAATTCACTGCACTTTTTACTTATTCCAATACAATACCACTTCCAACACAGTGGTTTGATTACATCCACCAAGCATCGGCCAAATAAAACTAACAATAATTAGACATTAAAGAAAACTCTGGAGGCTGAAGATAAAAGACTGAACAATCATTGTGTGAGACTTAGAAGACCGTTTCCTTCACATAAATTCCTTAATAACATAAATTCAGGATCTTTGTGGCCTCCTGCCGGGTGTCGAGAAACCTTTTGACTTCACAGAGACATTATTGTCTTAAACATTTGAACTTTAGCTAACATTTGTACGGCCTTTCATGAGCAAATTATGTGCTTATTTCCATCTGCAAAAGTACGTGATTCCTTTGTCATTGGAAAAAAGTCCAGTAAAGGTTTAGCTTGATACGTAAAAGGTTCATAGATACATTGATTCTTCCAGCAATTATTTTTAAGACATTTTTGGCAAACAATGACCATCTCCATACTGCATGTCCTTTCATTAGCTTTAATGCACTGCAAAACATGATCAAATGTGGGGTTATAATTGAATAAAGATTTTTTTTTATTTTAGTAAATTCTTTCTAAGATTTGCCGATGGGACAAAGCCATTTAGTCTGATTTCAAGAACTGTTGCTTTATTTTCTCATTCCAAGGGAGAAGTTTCTTGTATATTTTTTAAACAAGATCATTTTGCTTTGTCCCATTGGCAAATATTGTTTTAAGGCAGTCAGAATGGGCCTAAATTACATTTTATAGATATACATATTTTTCATCACTTTTTGCAGTGTATCTAAGCAGGCTTTTATATCGCTATTTATTTAAGTATTTTAAGTTTTTTCTGAAATTTGATATGCTACCAAAGACTGTATACTAGGAAGGAACTGACGGAGGGCAGACGTCACCCTAGTGTTTCCCAAATGCTGAAGAAACCGATGTGCACATGAGCTATCTGGAGCCAATTCCCTTATATGGGCATTTGTTCCGACAGCGCTAGTTTTTTTAGACGTGTTGCTACGATGGTTGCTGAGGCAAGCTGGACTTTCTTCTGCGAATCGAGGCATCCGATTGGTCAATCCTTGTATGGCTCATATTTGGATTTACAAAGCCCAAAATGTTGAGTGTGATACAGATGGTTTCTGAGCTAGAGAAGGCTTTGTCAAAGGGTTAACATTGTCCATTTATATACAGTCTATGCGTTAAACAACACATTTAGACAGAGGACAACTGAAATAACACTATACATAAAGATTGAAAAGTTAAATGAAATGTACAACGACCTGCGGGAAGCCAGGTCGTGGGATGGAAAGTGTTCTAGATTCAGGAGCTCATGGAGAATCCTTCAGTTAGAGTTAATACTTATTTATACCATAAAAAACGTCAGTATGTTCCCAATCTGGAGAAGTAGAGGTGTACCATCTGCCACATAGGAATTGGAAATGCTATATCAAGCCTAAAAAGTAATATATATAGGCAAATCTATAGCGTTCTATTTATTTATGACGTCTTCCTGCGACTGGAAATGCATTAATCTGAAGCTTAGAGTCAAACAGCCACCCGCCCTGCAGCTTTTCTAAACTTTGTGCATAGAGGCACCATGACAGACCCGGCTGTGCAACTTTCTGATCCTTTTTGGACAGAACCCACCGCTAATCCTCCTCATTTAAATGCATTCAAGAGTCTGAGCCGCGCCCTTGATCATTTCTCTGATGTACACTTTCACAGAGGAAACATTCGACCGTTTTGTTTGGTGTCACTTCCGATCACGAGCCTGACATTCACAGCTGTCTCACGACCGGGACGAGACGAAGAAAAGAGGAGGAGGATGGAGGGAGGAGGGGGCTATTGGTTCAAATGTCGCTCCACTCAAAGGCGGCACGTCTCTCCCAGGTGACTGCTTAACACCAAAAGTAATTGAAAAGTTGCCTCTGGCTCTGTGTAGAAATGTGTGTCGGAGAACATTTGCTAATACAAGACTGACTGCATGCTGCTTGGATGTAGTGGCAGTAAATAAACTCCGATGAAATAGTTAACCCAGAAAGAAACTGGGAACAGAAAAGGTAATATGGTTTTTAAAAATTGGAATTTCAGATCATAAATAGCATGAATGGAAGAGTCCTTTTAACCATGTTATTAATTGCTGTGGACTCTGGCCTCTACAAAATGCACTTGGGACAAACGCAATCATATTCAAAGACCTGTTTTAAAGATCAGGTCTTTAAGGTCACGGCCACTTCAGTCTCTGTTGTTTGGACTCGCTAACACTTGTGTTGTGTCTTTGTTGGGGCGCTAATTGTCACAAAATGCTTGTTCTGAAAAAAAAACTGGAAACTCAAATAAAAGCAACCAGGGCATTTTGTGTAAAGACCCATGCCGAAGTCTCTGTTATCATTGACATTAAAAGAGGATAAAACTATTTCACTAATAATGACCGCAAAATCTTGAAAGGTCTGCTTTAATTCACTCCAAAACATGCACCATAGGTAAATGACTCCATACTAAAATTTTATGTTATTAATTGAAGTGTTGGGAGTCTACAGATAAATTGTTTAAATCCATAATACAAAGGATTGTTTCATGAAATTGACCATAACAAAGCTATGAATCTTCATACAGATAAAACTAATTCCATGTCATTCTAATTATTGCTCTGAGTCATAAAACCTTGTCTTAGAATAATCCAATGCAATGATTAATACAAGAATGTTGACAATTTGACAAAAAATTGACTGTGTCTGTAATAGTTTTCTGTCTGTTTCAATATAGTAACACATTCCCATGTCTCAAACTCTCAACATTATGGAGGATTTCTATGAATTTCACAAGTTTAACCACAGCCAATGACACAAAACATCAAATCCCTCTCGAGCTCTCGCCATGTTTCGCACTGTATCAATAACTCTCACTTACCCCAATTCTCTTTATCTAACTTCCACAACTTTCCCCAAATTGGCAAAGGAAACAATCATTACGTTTGAGTCGCTCCCTCCCTCACCCTTCCCCCCTGCAGTCCCCTCTTTTTTGCTCTTGTACACGCAGGGGCCAAATCTCTTCAGCATTTCCAGCCCTGTGAGCTAATTTGACAGCTCAGGGGGTGACGCTGATTCCAGTTCGTGGAGACAGGTACCCTAGGGCTAGCCAGCTGGATCGCCGTGGATGCTTACAGATTTGGCTTTAGCTTCATGCTGGGTGTCATCTGTCTCTTTGGTCTGGCGCGGGATAATTTCTACGTGCGTGTGTATGTATGGCGTATGTGTGTGTGTGGTTTTGACATCATGTGCCTGAGCAGTTTGTGCCTGGCAGCTCTTGTCTGTCCAGGTTGGCCATCAAACGCAAGCAGCATGGCCCTAATCTGACGAGGCACCGCTCCAAACATACCACAGCAGCCCGACAACAGTGTGTGTGTGTGTGTGTGTGTGTGTGTGTGTGTGTGTGTGTGTGTGTGTGTGTGTGTGTGTTACTTTGACCCGTAGGGCACCACCCCCCTCAGCTTCCTCCACACACCCACTTTTCGACGACTTTTTCTCCTTTGAGCCGTCCCAACGTCTAACACTCCCCCGTAGAGCACACACTCGAACCTGTGGGGGACTTCACCGAACATCAAGTGGGGTTTGGGATGCGCCCCCATGTGCTGCGCCATCCGGGAGTTTGTGGTGCAGCCTAAACACTGCTAATATGAGTATGAGGTATTCTATTGACTAATACGTATGATTTAATGCAATTTACCCAATACTGAATATTTTCATTGAGCATTCTCTCACCAGGTTGAAATAAAAGATTCGTTTTGGTTTTTTATAGCACATTTCATTCAGAACTTCACAAGGAAAACCATGTAATTAGATATTGTAAATTCTGATTTTGTCCTCTTATGCCTCAGCCTTAACCATGTAACTAGATAAATAAAGCGCAGCAAAGGGATAGCACTGCTGAGGGGTAAGAAGGTCTGAACAAGTGATTATTCTTAGTTTCATTCAGGGTCAGAGGACATTTAATATCAGGCAGATTCCATTGACAAGGAGCATCATGCTTCTCCGCCTGCACCCGAGAGGTTTCTGTCCGAACTTAACCCAAGCACAAGCCTAAACCCTTTTCTTTAAGCCCGAACCTGAACACCATCACCTCTTCGGTCTTTGCATAGGTGCGGTCGTACTGGGTTCTCGTGGAGCAGATCAATCCCAATTCTGATGTTTCTCTCGTTTCTCGTGGATAAACATACTACGCTGCAGCTTAACAGACATAAGGTGTCTGTGTGGATGTGATCACTTAACCTCTTCATTTTTGTGTGAGCATTTTTAAGTGATACATTTCATCAGGTCTGGCCTCTGTGAGCGTCAGGAGAGCAAAAGAGAGAGAGAGAGATTGAAAGAGGCAGCGGCCAGAAATCAGGCAATGCAAAGAATAATTCTGCACTATTATTCTTATTTTTTGGGAGCTGTGAATGGTAGAAGCAGGACCCATCTGTTTGAATCAGAACAGCACAAGTGGACATTCTACTATAGAAGAAATGACATCGTTTTTTTCAGTTATTTCCCAGAAACAAACTTCAAGATGGCGTTCTGCGTAGCCACTTGTGAACGCTGATGACAGGCGACACACTCTCCCCTGAACGCAGAGCTGGGTCTGAGGCAAAGAGGGAAAGTGGCAGTTCACCGTCACATCGGCCTGACCGTGTTTGGTTCTGTGCGGCTCCCTGAAAAGCAGAGGCTGATGGCGGCATATGGTGAGGTTCAGCCTGTGAGCCCTGTGCTCTGTCAGGTCCACGACAGCACAGGGACACATGTAGCAGGACTTTTACAGTGTAGAGCAGAATTATGGACAAATGCATAATAGATGTTTTATGCTTTTTTTTAATTCTTCCACGCTGATATCAGGAATTTCTGGCACAAACATGTAACTCCGCCCCTTCTGTCTAAAGCACCCATCTCAGTCCTGTATTATCAGTAAAATGCTTCAGTTTCCGCCTTTTTAAAACAAAAGTATTGGCCACTAAATGATCTTGGTATTCTGTAAAATGATGTCCTTTACAATCGCAGAGCTGTGTTTGCAGACGGTAATTTTTGACACACAAAAAAAATGCATCTCTCCCTCTGGTGGTAGAATAGGGAGTTACAGGCACAGGGCTGGATGCTTGATTTGGTCCAGATCAAACAATAAAGTTAATTCTACCATCTCCGTTCTACCACATTTCAGTCTGATTACATTATTTGGGGAGATCATAGCATTGCATACTTGTTTGAATTGACTGAAATATTTTCACAAAGGCCTGTCATGTATCTTCTTACATTACTCATCAAAATTTACAGTATGGGTGCACATTTAAATTTACATTATAGAGTGTTGTGGTTTCACTTTTTATGGCTCTAAGTTACTTGGTGTCTTCTTAGTGTCTCAGGTCTCTGGACTGTCTTCCTGTGGCTCCGAAATTAGATTTTAAAAGCTGCTCTCTCTATGGCCTCGCACCAAAGTACATACAGTAAGTGACATGTTAGTGCCATATGAACCAACTCGGACTCTGGGGAGCACAGGGACTGGCCTCCTGCTGGTTCCCAGAGTCAGAACTAAACATGGGGAGACTGCATTACGGATACATGCCACTAGAATCTGGAACAGTCTTCCTGAAAATGGGAGACAGGCTTCTTTTCTGACAATGTTCATATCCAGGTTAAAAACAAGTTCTGTTTAGCTGTGCATACAACTGAGGGATTTTATCTTTACTTAATTTATTGTACTGTGATTATGTATGATTTCAATGCCTTGTGTGACTGTCTCTGTGTTGTTTTGTTTAGCACTTTGAGTTGCTTTGCGTATAAATTGTGCTATACAGATAAACTTTCCTTGCCTAGAGATCACTTTTCATTGCAGTTGTAGCAGAGGGACTTCACTCGCACTACACTGGACACACTGACTCATAGAAAGTGTCCGTGAATGAAACAGAATCTGCCCCAAAGTGGAGGTGGGTGGTAGTGGGCAGCAGCAGCAGGTCCCCCCCCCCCCCCCCCACCACCCCCCTCGCTCCTCTCTGCTTCTCTTCAGCCCTTGGCATCGAGTGAGTAACACCCACCTCCCCTTCCCCATCACAACCTCGGTGTCAAGAACCCACAGAGACCCGTAACAACCGCAGCCAAATGCAGAATAATTATACCCAGTGGGTTCTGCGGGCACCACGGCTGAGGGGGGGGGGGGGGGGGTGAAGCTGGAGAGCAGGAGAGCGTCACTGACCGGGGTGAACTCGCACGGCCACTGGGCATGTTTGGTGAAGCACAGACTCCCACTGCACAGAGAGAGAGAGAGACACACACAGGAGAGAGAGTCTGGATACTGGCTGTAACGGCTCTATCTCACACTGGGACCGGCTCTGCTCCGGTCCAACACCTTCTGCTTATGAGTAGTGGACCTCATGGGGCAGACACAAACCTCGGGCCGGTGGAGTGGGCTAGTTTGTGGAAGTTTATTATGTCGTCCTTCTGAGTAGACATTTATCAACACTTGGACATTGGTCATCTGCCGCTCATGGACCAATACCAATGTGTTTTCTGTTTTATTTCTTGCGTTTGAACTATTTGATTCTCTGATCTGTGTTGGCGAATTCAACAGTTGTGTAAAGTCCGCTGAGGTAACTACTGTTGTGATTTAGGGCTTTATGAATTGAATTGAATTGAATTGAACAGACTTGAGGGGTTCTTCTGATATGACAAATAAGCAGTTCTAGCTTCAACACACATTGGTATTGTTGGAAAACCCAAAAGAATCCATAATAAACTTCCATGAACTATATTCCTCTGACTAGCTTTTGTTTTACTGATTAGGCAATGAAACAGTTAACGAACATACGTGTGGCCTGCAGCCAGTTTCAAAGTCAATTAATTGACAGTTTGGGGTCTTTGTCAACACTTGCATTAGATTTCTTTTGTTGTCCAAAGTAGAAAGTTATACAAATAATTGAAGGTGATATGTCGGTGTAAATTGTGATCTAAAAGATTTACACATGCACTGTTTATGATATAGATACATAATTATAATTACAATCAGAAGAGAGTTATTGTTTACAGAGGAACAGTTGAAAGAAATTAAATCTTCTATGAGTAATTCATCTATTTAAAATAACAGTAGATTGATATATAGATATTGCCCTAATAATAAGTATAGTTAGAATTATTGTACATATGTATTGATATGTGTAAATGTAATGTATAATTCTAAGTAAAAAATACATAATTGGTCAAATTTAAGAATCACATCGTAGCCCTAAAGCAAATGTAAAGGATTATTATTTTGCAAAGGTGAATTAATTTACTATTTTTCTTTTGAGTAATATACAGTATTGTGCAGATTGCATCTAATAATCTTTTTATGAACAGTTATTAGTTTATGGATATTGGATAGACCGCCAGAAAAGGGACTGTTTGACGCCACAGATTTAACTTTATTACCATACTGGACCAACACACACATGGCTCCAACGGCTTAGTTCAACGTGACAGTGTCTCATGGCTCTGGGCCGAGGTGCAGAAGTGTCAGTAAAAAAGCTGAAATGTATTTAATAGCGGCACAAGTGTGGAGCAAAATAAAGTGATCCGTTCTCGTGCAAATATAGCTGCAGCCGGAGATTCACGATGATGCACGAGGACAGAAACATCCTCGTTATGTTGATGCTGCTTCAGTTTTCCAAATTCACTGAGGCTTTAGAAATCTGGGCTTGGAGACATTTCAAGTTTAAGCACAGCCACTTTTAAAAAATAAATCTGTGGCATCATTTTCCTTTTCTGTTTATTTATTCAGAGCTGTTACCTGAATTTGTTTTTGTTTTTTTTCGTCTTTTCTGATAGTAAGACACAAGTGCATTTATAGGGCTTCAAGATTAAAACCACTTGGAACTGGACCTGTCACAATAACATATTACTTTATTATTTTTTATTGCGATAAACAATCATGTTGAAACTACTTAAAGCAACTGACGTAAGCACAATACTGCAGAATGACTACAGACGACAAATTTTGAGCCTAAAAATATAATTGTTTGACATTTATTTATTATTTTTTTATATATTCACTGCTACCTGCTAGACTAATCTTTGTATAATCTGTATTATTCTAAAGTCAGAGATTTTGTTCTTATTTCTTGCTTCTTATTATAGATTATAGACTGCTTCCTTATTATGCTAAAACTACAGATTTATTTTGTGTTATTTTATTTAGGAGAGAGTTTAGTACTGTACTTCATTCCTACTGCTCTGTAACCGGTGATGCAACACTGTAATTTCTCCACAGTGGGATGAATAAAATATCTCTTAATCTTGATCTAATGCCTCAAATTTAAATCTGCACCTTTTCAGAATGCAACATACAGTAGTTCTAAAGAATGCCCAAGTTTACACGTCACTCTTTAGTTTTATCATTTAAGACTTTGGGATGCAGTAAAACTTGTTGACATTGCTGGTTCTGACATGTTTGTTTCCGCAGCTCTTTCGCAATAACACAAGTCAACAGCAAAGGGCTTATTTTATCCTTTGGCGGTGGATCAATCATGTAATCTTTTTAATAGGCCCAAATCAAACTAATGGTGCATGTAATAAGTGTTTAACTAAACTATGTGGACAGTGGGGGTCTTAAGTGGTGCATAATTATTATCTTCTAACTGAGGCTGACAGTAATAATGCATTTAAGGTTCGCAAACAAACTTGTCAACACTAATTTTCGACGAGACCCCCAAACAATGTCCCCTCTCACCCTGAATATCATGCATGCCTTTTCCTTGGATAATAAATGTATCTATGTCCATATATTTGCATTTTAAACAAAAGAATTAACCAATAAGGAAATCCATTAAAGGTTTGATTGGAAAAATGTAGGAAGCGATGCCATCAAGTGGACATCAGGGGAACTGCAGGTGTCAAAAGTACATACATCCACAAGAAATCCTGATATAAATACGTTAGCGCCAGATTAAAATGAGGTTAACACCATGTTAACACGGGTAAACGGTAAAATAGTTTAATCTCTAATACTGCACCAGAAAAAAAACATGGTCAGCATTTGCAGCAGACATTATTATAACTTCGTAGAATGATTAGTTAGGCTGATGCAAACGTTAAAGCTTGGGTACCTAACTTTTTTTAAATAAATGATACATTTACTTTTGAGTTGTAATGTGAAATGATGTGAACAAATCAGATCCACAACATGCCGTCTTCAGCTCTGAATTTGAGTCTGTAATGTACTTGTAAGAGACCCCAAATAGTCACTATTCGACTTTTAGGGGTTAGATTGACTGAGTGAGGGTGGTCTCTTATTCACCCCTTTGTCTGAAATATGTGATAGAGGCCAAACACTACGTGCATGTGAAAACTAGTTTGCCTGAGGATTCTAGCAGTGTGAATGTGAATAAATGTGTGTGATGGTAATTTCTTCCTGTAGTCAATAACCCTGTGGGAAATCGGGTAATATTTTTAGAGCGAGGAATGAAGATAAGATGTACTCTAGTTAGATGCATTTTATTACATTGACCCTTTGTTGTGAAAGTTAGGTTCTCCAGATTTCCCAAATACAGGTTAAGAAGGACACCTGCTGGTCACAAATAAAATTACACACATGAAATGGACCACAGGATTACATTTGAAGAGATGGGGGAGGGACACACTCAAAACACTTACAATAAGAGGTTTTAAAAGCAAAATTATACAGAAATATTTGCAATTCTCTTGTAATATCTGATAAGTATACGTTATATTCATGTAAGAAGTTTGTAAATTAATAATACAAGGTTAACATTCCTCTTTTGGCAGTTTGGTTCAGTCCGTCACGAACCCGGAAGCAATAGTAAATATTTACAATTTAAGTCACCTGATTCTCATTCAGCTGACTTAAATTGTGAAAGAAACACTGTAAACTCTTTTATTCTGAGCACATATATAGTTTGGAACGGTTTGTTTGTACTTTGCTAACATGTCATCGTGGGTTTGTTTGTGTTACTTCAGTATTTGAGAAGTTAGCTTAGTTAGCACTTAGCCTAGCCCTATTCTCTTTCACTTTTAACACGCCTCATTCTACGACTCTTTGTGGGATAATGGACAAGGTTATTAAGGGTAAGTGGAGCAATACACAGTGGCTGTCCTAGAGTCAGTTTAGTTTAATGTCTCACTGCAGATTTGGGAGGTTATAATGACAAGATTTGTCTATATTTCTTCATAATATTACAAGTCAAGAATCTAGGCTCAAGTAATGAATGATCTACACAACTTCATCTGGCTGATTTACAAAAATATGAACTGAAATCTGAACAGAATTTTGAGCTGAACATTTGCTGTATTCCTCTGTTTATACACGAATTATGTCACTGAGTGTGTTAAAAGTGCTCAACATATTTCTCCTTTAAAATTGCATAGTATGTATCTACCTGTTCTGATTTTCCTCTCTTGAGCTGATCTTATATAAATTGTGTTTTCTCATTCTGACGGCCATAAAACTGCTCCATAGTTTTGTTTTGCCCATTAAAAAGTGAGTGTAATTGCCTTGCAGATGTTGGCGAGATCCAGTCCAGACTATTGGACCACAGACCCATTATCAATGCAGAGACGCGCTACTTTGTGAAAGAGTTTGAGGTACTTGCCATATGTTTTCGAGCCATAACAGAAAGGGACATTTGTTTAATTACTTTGTGCAGTGAAATGGGACTAAACTTCTCCCTTCTGTTGTTTAGGAGAAGCGTGGCCACAGGGAGAGTCGACTGCTGGACAATCTCAATAAAAGTGTGACAGAAACCAATGAACAACTGCAGAACACGAGCTCTGAGGACATAAAGCAGCAGCTGTCTGACGTCATTGCACGTTGTAAGTCTCTCCAGAAGAAAAGGTTCACTAAATTATTCTTGTGGTCTGTTTAACTGTCATTTAGAGGTACACTTTGTCCTCCTCTTAAAGGTCTTTTGTGCATCATCTGTACTGATTTTGTTCCAACAGTGGGAGCTGCAAATCACGTGGCGCAGAGAATCCAGCAGAGGGAGCTAGAAGAGCAGCAGGTAAATCCATCAGACCCTTCTGCAGAAATTATTATTTGGTCTTATGCTGGTACTTCATAGTCAAATTTCTAATAATAGAGTAAATGATTATCCAGAGATCTTCCCTGAAAAACAATTACAGAATTAATGGTTTGAGTTGGATTAAAATGCCAACATTTTCTGGAAATAATTTGTAATGTTTCAGAAATGTGTATTTTTAGCCTGAGCGTTTCGCCATGTGAGCGGTGTGGTTAGAATTCCTGCCTCACAGTATTGTCCTGATTTTGAGTCGTAGGTGGGCCTTTTTACTGTCTCAAATTTCTACCTGTCACGAGAAGATTGAGATGTTATTGCTTTCTTCAGTGCGCCATTTTATTTCAAGCCACTCGAGGGCATGTTTTTGTGTGCTGCACTTTTAATCGCATTCAAATCCAAATTAGCTCAAATCGTAATGACTGGAATAATTTATTTTACAAACAGCAAATCATGTTGTTGCATAATAAATACATTTGGCTCTCACTGTGTTTTGAACTATAAATCAGGATCTATAATCTTCTAACATGCTGTATGGACAAATGTATAGCTCAATATCTGTACATTGAGAATTAAATCCAAATAAAAACACAATACAATAATAATAATGATAAAGTATGATCTGGAGAAATGTAGGGATCATTGCAAATGTCAAATCCAGACCAATAAGAGTCTACTTTTGAGAGCTTTTTGACTGTTTTATATGCTTTTGGGAAGGAAAGTCTGGTCTTATCTAACTTAGTTTTAAGCCCTGGGTTGTTGAGAACTTCCACTTCTTCAAAGATCTTCAGGGGTCTATTTCGTAGTGCACTTTGAACAGTGTCCTAGAAAAGAGGTGCAGGTGGCTCCATTGGGATCAGAGAATGTTTTAAGATGAGGAACTACTAGACTCCAGGATGAGGCTTCATGACAGAACTTGAAAATTGAACCATATTCACAATGGTTATGTGGACATTCTGAAAAAAGGGACAAATTCGCACAGATATGTTGCTCCCAATTGTTTTAATTAACAGACCAAAGAAACTTGGGCGCAACAGAGCTGTGCAGATTTTTCTCTCTTTTCATATTGTGCACTTTTTGTTTAATCCAGTACACTAGCTCAGGCCACTGGGATGTGCAGCTTCATCTCAAACATTTATGTGAAAAATCTGTTCAATATTTCTTTCAAATTGTGCAGCCATTATTGGTGTCCCCAGGAAACAGTGTGCAACTAATTTTCAGAAGATCTTTATAGAGAGTTTTTGTATAACTTTTTTTGAGACAGTTTTTAAGTATGGGTTTTTGTTTTGTTTTGTTCCCAGGGCAAACAGCTGCAGCAGAATATGGAGCATTTAAAAGAAGACTGGGCCGAGTTTTTGAAAGAGCAGCAAAGACTGAAGGAAGAGGTGGATGAGGAACACGCAAAATCTGTCGGAGAAATCAGCGCTAAGTACAACGAAATGAAGAAAGACTTGGAGAAACTAGACATCTGATTTTTACATTGTTTACAAAAGTAACTAGGGTTGATATGAAACTAGACACTATACACTTGACCTGCTGGAGCCAAAATGCCTGCAAAAAGTAATCAGAAAAACAATGGATGTCGTTGGTGCATGGCTAAAAAAATTAGACTTGACGCAGTTTCGTTCTTGCACAAAATCACGAATAATAAAAGTGTGATTTAACAAAGCTGGAGCCTCGCAGACCTTCAACGCCACTGTTTTTCTTCTCCTGGCACCAAACGTACCAAACGTCCTGGAACATGTCACATTCGAAACGAGCAATCACCGGACTGTTTTCTGGCTGCGAAGCTTTCAACATTTCAGAGCGTTTAACGGATGCCCGCCGCCGGCAAACTGATGACTTGCATTTATCACGCAGGTGAAATATGCCAAGCCGTGGAAGAGAGATCATTTAGTGTCCGTAACAATCTCCTGAGCAGGTGTGTTTAAAGCACAAGCCAAACGTCGTGGAACTGAGCACAAACAGATCTCTCTCTCTCTCTCTCTCTTTCTCTCTTTCTCTCTTTCTCTCTCTCGCTCTCTTGTGTTTGGAACGAATGACCTCTTTCAGTAAATGTAACCAAATCAAGACTCAGAAAAAAACTGCTTGAACAATCACCACCAGCTGCAAAGTGTTTACTCTGCCACCTGCCGTAGCAATATAATGATCACCAATCCAGTGTTTGTCTGACTGTTTAGACAGAATCAAACATAAATCTCTGTTCTTAATGACTTTTCTGTTGAAGTTTCCCATCGGACACTTACAGTATGAATGTATAGTATTGCTCTCGGCTACTTGTACCTCGTCCCTGTGCATGGCTCTTATAAACTTCTGGAAACCAAACACTTTTTTTCATGTGGTCAAAATGTTGATACCAAAACTCAACACTTGGTGGTACTCTTTCATACTGCAAAACTAAACCAAGCATGGCGCTTTCCTACTGTGTCATTTTTGTGTTTCATATTTCACATTTATCACGTTTGTTTAATTAACATTTCCCTGTGAGACAACACAGTGTGCCCTGGTCTTACTCAGTTTAACTAATAGGACACAAAGTCATAAGGAACTTACTTTTTTTTTTTTTTACATTTCTGCCCAGCAAGGTTTTATCCAGGTATCCTCAAGAACAATATATCAAAGTGATGTATTTCTTTTGCATTTTTACAGCATCTGGTCTGTTAATTGATCGTCATCGAAAATACTGCGACATCAAGAAGGTGGTGGGTTCAGTTCCACCTCCAGACAGGGCCTGTGTGGAGTTTGCATGTTCTTTCTGCGTCTGCGTCGATTTCCTCCATGTGCTCTGGTTTCTCTGATCACTAAAAACATGTACTCTGACTCAGGATTCCCGTGTAAAAGATATGAAATGATAATAATATTGTGTGTAACTATATTATGAGTGTTTTGTGGTGCAGTAGTTGGCGTTCATCAGTGTTTCCTTGTGAGAAGTCACAACATGGATATATAACGCCACTCTTCCAAAGCCACCTTTCATCTGCCTCAAATCTTGTTTTTGTGAAAGAAAATTAGGAAAGTGAAATACACGAGGCTCAGAATTCAGCTGTGGAGGTAAACAGTGGAAGAATGGCTTTTTTTGTTTTTGTTTATCGATCATACGTGCACAGGTTTTATGCACAATTAAAGCTACGGTACCTACTTTAAAAAAACTTGAACTATGAAATTAAAACCAGCTAATTCTTCGCTTTCCAAACATTTTGGTTCCATCTTCCGTGTTTACATGCATGTACTTTTTGGCTTTGTCACATCTGTAGATCAGCTTTCTAAAGGACAGGGCCACCAGCTCTCAGCCTAAAGTGTTAAATAGCAACATTTTAGTTTGGGCTAAAAGAAACAGGGAAAACAAATATGGACAAGCAAGTAAAATTTAAGCTTTTCTATATTTCAGAGAGGAAAAGTAAAACATATATAAACCTTATTTAGCTTTTTTGATAACAGGTCTAAATGGATTGAAAATTTGTATGATTTTTTTACAGTTTCGTTTCTCCAGAGATATAATCTGTAATATGGCCTGGTGGTGCTGTTTTTGTTCTGTGTAAATGGATATGGCTCCCTTTGTGCTCCTTGAACTTTGTAATGTGTTTCCACCTGTGAGATATTTAGTACTTTTAATTTATCTGTTGAGCACATTTTATTTACAATGTAACTATATTTTCTTTTATGTAACAGTATGCACATTAAAAAGCCATTATGAAGCTCTCTTATGTAAACATTTGAACTAATCCTCACTGTTTTTAAGGTTCAATGTAGTTCTTTGCTTCAGTTGAATAGAAAATACTTGAATAATTAGGTAATGGTTGGGGATTTTTATCGGACATTCCAGTCACACATTCTGTCGTCATTTGATTTTGTTCCTCAGTTATCTATTTGTCCTGTCGGGATGGAAATCGCCCGTTTAGGATCAGATTGCCCTTATCACGGAGCGGGTGCAGAGGGCTCCGGCTGGGTGCTGCCTGGCTTCCTCTTGCGCTTGTGTTGGCACGGCGACCGGAGTGCACCATGCGTCTTAAAAACAGGAAGAGTCCAGTCTGGAGGACACAGGAGGCCGAGAACTATTTGGTGCAGAGGGTCCAGAGTGTAGGGCTGTGCTAAAAGTCAATTTTTAGATCAATATTGAGAGTTTTTAATTGTGATACAATATATGTTTATCTTAATTTTGTTTGAATTTTTGATTTATCTTATCTTTCAATTTTGTTTATATCATTTATTTAGTTATTTATTGCTAATTTGGCACATTTGCATCCATTGTCCCACATTCGCACTCACAAACACACACACATTCATTCATTCACCCTAAACTATTGCACATGGGTTTAGTGGTAGGGGAAACCGGAGTACCCGGAGGAAACCTACGCCGACACGGGCAGAACATGCAAACTCCACTCAGAAAGGTCCTGCTCCGACCGACATCCAAACCCAGAACTTTCTTGCTGAGAAGCGAGGGCGATATCCCCTCAGCCACCGTGCCACCCATTTTTTTTTTTATATATAAATGTTTTTGTATATTTTGTAATTTTATATTTCAATTTAGAATTTATCATTTCTTATAACTCTGGATTTTATTTTATTTTTTCCGATTTTATTTCTTTTCAACTTTTTCTCTTTTAAATTTTTTTCTTTTAGATCTTTCTTGTTTTTTGTACATATTCGCTAAAATGTTGGTCCATAATTAGACTTTTTTTTGTTTTCGAACAGACCGGACTGGATCTTCCCACACAGTTCCTTCAAGTGGAATCATTGACTATGCCTCTCTCTTTTGTTCAACTCAAAAAACCAACTTTAAACATCCAATCAACCTTGCGCTTCCATAATTTGGCCTGTTCCGACATCGTGTGAGTTTATCCAGACTATTTAAGCATTTCGTCTTGGAAGGAGCAACCCTCAGGAGGTGTGTGTTTCTCCCACCATCACCTCCCTGACAGCAGATTATGAAACTGTTTCTCTCAATGCAACACGACGGCGGACCCTTATTACCCAACTACCCACGGCCCAAAATGAAATGCCAAAGGAACAAAAGTGCTTCCAAGTTAATAAACCAGCTTATAACCGCACCCCGGGGAGTCAGCAATGCGCCCATGTGGAAAGTGCTAATAATATGGATTCTTGAGCAAGGGCCAGCGCTCACCAAGTGGATTTCAAGACGGCAGTAAAACAAATTAGGTAAATTGATACGCAGGAAATGCACACCGGAGAGACCCTCGATTGCTTACACTGGGCGGTAAATAACCCAATCAAAATGTTGTAGATTAGATGTTAGAAGTTGGATGATGAAAGATGTAAACTTCCAGGTGAATGTTCTAATTAGTTGGAGCAGATGAGATGTTTTGGAAGTCTGCTTTGCTTCATTGTGCAGGTCCGTGTTACAGCGGGGCTCTGCGAGGGGCCAAGAATCACAAGAGGAGAGTCCAGCATCAACAAACAACTTCCACAACTCCATCTGAACAATAGACAGACAACAGAACTGAAGAGGAATGTCCAAAAATATATGTGGATTCACTTCTGCAAAACTAGTCAGAGGGAGGCAGTCGCTATTCTGAAACTATATTCTATTTGTTTATTTTATTTATTTATTTATTTTTTTTAATTTATTTTATTTATTTTATTTATTTTATTTATTTTATTTATTTTATTTATTTTATTTATAACTTGCACAATACATATTTTTACATATATCAATATAACAGAAAAAAACAATATCATATCACAAAAACATAAACACAATGAAACCACACAGGCCCAAACACTCTCCGACCCCACTTCTTTGTCTTTGATTCAGCTGATAAATCATTCCAAACAGCAGCTCCACGCATTGACACACACATGTAACCAGTCTTACATTTAGGCACATACTCTTATACTGTATGCTGAGTAGACAGCCAAAAACATAAAGGAAAGGTCTGAAAGTGATAGATAACAATCTATAGAAAAATGCAAATTGACTGATCTGAAAAGTAAAATCCTACTTTGACTTAGCATGAGTTCAATCACATTTAGCAAACTTATAGTAAACCTAGACTAGAAAATGTTTGTGTGTGTGTGTGTGTGTGTGTGTGCGTGCGTGCGTACGTTTGTGCGTGTGTGTGTGTGTGTGTGTGTGTGTGTGCTTGCGTGTGTGTGTGTGTGTGTGTGTGTGTGTGTGTGTGTGTGTGTGTGTGTGTGTGTGTGTGTGTGTGTGTGTGTGTGTGTGTGTGTGACTACTTGTCTAAACGTCTTAAACACAAATCAATCTGAAAACTATCTTTGTATTTTGTATTTTTTTATTATTTATTGTTGCATGTAATTCCAACGTAGGTTCGTTGAGGAGGTGTGAGGGGAAGTGGATAAAGAGATCAGAGAGAGACCAGTGAGAGACCAGAGAGAGGTCAGAGAGAGACCAGAGACGGATGAAGAAAGAGAGCTCCTGGTGAAGAAGCCAGACTCTCCACCTCAGAAGCTACAGCTGCAAACAGCCTGATGCCCCAGTCCAGAGCAACCTGCTGTTTGCAATCTATATTTCTAATCTGAGAGTCCTTCCCCTCCATTTCTCTCTGATGATGAAGCTTTGAAACGTTCTAAAAACTCATAGCTTCAAACAGCCTGAGAGACTAGAAAGAGAGCTCCGGGTGAAGAAGTCCAAGCTGATGTTAAAGTCGTCCATTTCTCAGACATTCCAAACAGAACACAACATCTGGATTCAGCAGAAAAGAAGGAGTTGGACTCTCCACCTTAGAAGCTACAGCTACAAACAGCCTGATGCCCTAGTTCAGAGCAACCTGCTGTTTGCATTCTATATTTCTAGGCTGAGAGTCCTTCCCTTTCGTCTCTTTCTGAAAATGTATAGCTTTAAGCAGCCTGAGAGATCAGAGAGAGAGGCCAGAGAGAGACCAGAGAGGGAGGCCAGATAGAGAGACCAGAGAGGCCAGAGAGAGACCAGAGAGAGACCAGAGAGGGAGGCCAGATAGAGAGACCAGAGAGGCCAGAGAGAGACCAGAGAGAGACCAGAGAGGGAGGCCAGATAGAGAGACCAGAGAGGCCAGAGAGAGACCAGAGAGAGACCAGAGAGGGAGGCCAGATAGAGAGACCAGAGAGGCCAGAGAGAGACCAGAGAGAGATTAGAGAGACCAAAGAGAGGTTAGAGAGACCAGAGAGAGAGAGAGCCTCATAAGCTTACCAAATTTCCCATTCCCCTTTCAGACTTTAGATTTGAATTAGCAGCTACAGCGTCTGACCTGTGCTGCTGAGAATGCGTTATTCTCTTAAAACTCAAACTTTTTCATCAGCGCCGAAACGCTCTTCCCCTTGACGCGGTTCCTCTGCAGCTCGGGCCCCTGCTTCTGCGTGTCCTGCTCAAGTTTACTTTCAAATAATTCTGTTAGCTTTTTCACATTTTTCTTGAGCTCTGTGCAGTCATCCTTCCAACGCTGAGGTCTGGACTCATCTGCACTCGTCTGTGGTTTCTCAAACAAGGCCCTTGTTGTTTGATCCAGATTCTGCGTTGGTACATTGGAGGTAGAGGTCTCAACCTTCACGGCTTTTAGATTTGTTAGCATCTCCGCACTGGCCACCGTTTGCGTCTGCGTTTCACACATAGACGGCTTCTTCTGGGGGGCGGCCTCGCTTACTTGTTGCTCCAAACGTCTGCGAGCTTCCACCTGTTGTTTGAAACCGTCCTTGTAAACGCTCAACTCCTCGAGGTGATCGTCGAACGCTTTCGTCTCTAACAGTTTTTGTTCCATCAATTTCTCACAAGCCTCCTGACGTTCAGACTCATGTTTGCATGAGTTCTTGTTGGCTTGTTCCAGATCTTTCTCCAGACTGAGGTTCAAACTTTGCAGCTGCATCAGTTTCTCACAAATCTCCTGATTCTCTTTCTCCTTCTGTGCTAACTTTTCTCTTGCTAGCTCCAACTCTGCGTTAAACTTGGCCTCTTTGAATTGCATACACCTCATCGCACACTCAAATTCCTCATACCCGTTTTTGGAGTCTGGCTGGTCCTCTGTCTGAGTCTGGACCTTGCTGCTGGACCTGGCCTGAGTCTGTGTCTGGACCTCGCTGCTGGACCAGGCCTGAGTCTGTGTCTGGACCTCGCAGGTGGACAAGGCCTGAGTCTGTGTCTGGACCTCGCAGGTGGACAAGGCCTGATTCTGTGTCTGGGCCTCGCAGATGGACCAGGCCTAAGTCTGTGTCTGGGCCTCGCAGGTGGACCAGGCCTGAGTCTGTGTCTGGGCCTCGCAGGTGGACCAGGCCTGAGTCTGTGTTTGGGCCTCGCAGCTGGACAAGGCCTGAGTCTGGACCTCGCTGCTGGACCAGGCCTGAGTCTGGACGTCGCTGCTTGACCAGGCCTGTGTCTGGACCTCACTGCTGGACCAGGCCTGAGTCTCTGTCTGGACCTCGCTGGTGGACCAGGCCTGAGTCTGCGTCTGGACCTCGCAGGTGGACAAGGCCTGAGTCTGGACCTCGCTGCTGGACCAGGCCTGAGTCTGTGTCTGGACTTCGCTGCTGGACCAGGCCTGTGTCTGGACCTCGCTGCTGGACCAGGTGGGTGGTTGAAGGTCCCTCTGTCTGTAAATGATGTTGTCCTCAAACATCTCTTCCATCTCCTGCAGCTCCTGGTTCAGCTGTGACAGGATCTTTCTAATGTCGTTGTCTTTGGGACCAACGTCTCCCACTTCCGGACCTTCCATGGTCAGTGTAATGTCCTCCATACTGTGTCTTAGAACTGTTAAGCCTCCTCCTATCTAAGTCTGTTTGTGTTTGAGACCTGACGTTGCCCTAAGGTTAACTTTTCATTGCTTTATGACGTCATTACTGCTTTGACAGGACCGCCGTAACCTAGCAACCGGTGATGTCATCGGGATCCGGAACAGAGGGGCTGTTCCCATGGCAACCTGTCCTTTAATTTGATGTCAGAATTTATGAGCAGGATTCAAATCTTTATTGTTTTTAAAAAAGACAAACTGAACATTATTTAAACATTTTTAAATCTGGAGCGGGTTTGTCTAAAACTGACTTAATCCTGAAGTTGATTAAAAACAATTTAACCTTAAAAATACATCACATTTTTATTTTAATATTTCTTTCATGATTTACAGAATTTTACTTTTACAAGATTATTTTTTAAACCAGACCTATCTCCTCATCAGTCACTGATCTGGAGTTGTTTTTAGCTCCATCCACACTTATATGGAACTTCTGGCACAAACGTGTAGCTCCGCCTCTTCTGTCTAAACAGCAGGGGGCATGCGTGCGTGTGAGACTGTGTGTGTGTGGGTGTGTGTGTGTGTGTGTGTGTGGCTCTGGCTTTCTGCTCCAGTGAATGAGATCTCCAAGGAGCCTCCATGATCCCACTCTGCTCTAAAGTTAATAAATCAATCAGATGTGCTTTACTACTGCAGATGCCACTGTGTTCGGTCCATTGAGGAAATCCCGCTGGAGGAGGTCATCTTGATTGACAGGACAAAGGGCTGGAGGTGTGTGGATTGTGGTGGGGCAGATGTGCTTCAGTGTGAGCCCCATGGGGAGTGAGGGCTCAGGTCCTGCCCCGGCTTTCTCCAGGGAAGCACCACCACTGCCACTGGAATGCATGGGAGATGAAGGCCACGTAAAGCTTCCTGGGATAGTCGGGATTTTAGAGTTTGCATCCAGTCCTTTCCAAAAAACTGGTTTGTATCTACTTTGCTCTGGAGGGGAAACATACTTACCCAAACTAGAAAACTGCACACACCAAATGTTTTGGGAGAGAGCTGGGATATTTTCAGTTTTATTATTGACAGATCATCGCAAATGATCCAATTCAATCACATTTTTTCTTGTACAGCCCTTAATCAGAACAATAGTTTTCTCAGAGGACTGTTGAAAATCACAAAACAGATCAGAGAATCAAACAAGAATAGAGAACACATGGGTATTGGTTGGGGGAGTTGACCAATGTCCATAAGTGTTGATAAATGTCCATAAATGTTGTTGAGGGCTCAGGATCTAGTTATGGTTTCTCAGTGCCATTAAAATGTCATCAGTGTTTTACCCCTGAGTTCATGACATACACCTGCCCTTTACCCACTGACACCATGGGCCACTGGATCCACTGCTCAACCACAATGGGGTTTTACTGAAAATGGTCAATGAATTCTTGAATCTAGAATATTGGATCTTCTTCTTCTTGAATTGCTTACATATATTCACCAGGCATGTCAGCCATTGAGCAGAGTTGGGATTCTCCGGATTGCCATATATATAGTTCCTGCCGACATCCAGAAACTTAACCCAGTCAAAGCCCAGTGGACAAACCTTCTACAGGCCATAATCAACAACCTGATCAACTCGGACATTTACTGCTTTTCTGACCTAAAAACAGGACGGCTTGGAAAGGCCTTTAGTAATTGTCAGCATTAGGCACTTGTGTAGTATCCATACCGTCTAATCCGTGTCTTGATATGACGTCCGCGAGGTGGGGCGATTGTCAGCAGAGAATAAATACTCACTGAAACAGACTTATACAGATTTGTGAACCATATCTGAGAGAGATAAGTTTATTGGTTATACAGAACTTTATAATTTTCGGTTGATTCCATGAAAATTGGGGGCAAAACAAAAGCACTGCATTTTTGTTTGGTCACATCAAATACTTTTAAATATTGAGCTTTCTCACTATCACAGCCCATCTCTCCAGTCTGTCTCTTTCCTTTAGTCCAGTGACTTCAGTCTAATGTCTTCTCCAGTGTGTTTTGTCAGAGCAGCAGCTTCTGACGAGTGCCGCCTCCTGAGAAGTTGGAGACTGTTTGGAGAGCACCTGTTCAATAGTGATTTCTGTTCAGCTGTGGTATGCATTTAATCAATTCATTTGTTAATCAAAATCAATGTGGCCCAAATAATGTCTGATAGAGAATATTGAGTATTTAGTTTGCTTTATTGGTTATGTTTTTATGTTAGATCTCATGAAGGATAATAGATTTTAAATGATCCCTGTTCCACATTTTAGTTCAAAAGGGAGTTCATATTTTTTCTAAATATGGATCATGGATAGTTTTGCACTTCTAAATGTTGGTATATACTGTAGGTATTTTTAAACAATACAGGAAAATCAAATCTGTCATGGTAACAGCGCATAGCAAGCCGTTTTAGAAAGAGGATAACTAAATTGCATTATAATCATTATTATTATATGGCTCAAAGTAAGAATTTAACCAGAAATGACGAAGACTGTAATCCCAGGGGGTAAGGGGCTTAGCAACAGGGTGGTGGTACTATAAGTGCAGAGACCATACTTTTTAGTTATTTATTTATAAAAACAAATAATTTTTGTTTTTAGTTAAGACTAAAAACAAAGGAATCGGAAATTAAGTATAAAACCTACAAAAATAAGTTAACAAACATATTAAGGACTAGTAAAAAAGAATACTATGGTAGGCTGCTGCATAGGAACAAAGACAACATTAAGGAAATTTGGAAAATCTTAAACACTGTGATAAACAAAGGTAGAACACAAAAGAGCTTTCCACATTTTTTTCATATTGACAACAAAGACAACCGCAATATGAATGTTGTTGTTGAGAAACTAAATGAATATTTTGTGAACGTGGGTTCTGACTTGGCAGGCAAAATACCTGATTCAGGTCCACCAGATGGGTGGAAGGAACATCTGACTGAACGTAATTTGAGTTCTATGTTTGTATCAATGGTAGAAGAAAATGAAATTATAGCAATAGTACACAAATGTGCAAATAAGAGATCAAAAGACTGCGACGATATTGATATGTCAGTAATCAAAAAGGTAATTGAGGGTATATCAAAACCACTAACATATATTTGTAATTTATCTTTTAGGACGGGTACATTCCCTAATAAAATGAAAATCGCTAAAGTGTTACCACTGTACAAATCAGGAGATAGACATACTTTTAATAATTATAGACCTGTTTCGTTGTTACCGCAATTCTCCAAAATTCTTGAAAAACTCTTCAATACACGACTGGAAAAATGTATAAATAAATATAGCTTACTATCGGAGTGTCAGTATGGCTTTAGGGCTAAGCGCTCCACAGCCATGGCACTTATTGATACAGTTGAACAAATATCATCCTCTCTTGATCAAAAACGTCATGCAATCGGAATTTTTGTGGATTTAAGCAAAGCATTTGACACTATAGATCACACAATTCTACTTAGAAAATTAGAACGCTACGGTATCAGGGGTATAGCCTTACAATGGGTAAAGAGCTATCTGAGTGAAAGAACACAGTTTGTAAGATTGGGAGAATATAGATCTAGATGTTTAAATGTCAATTGTGGAGTTCCACAGGGTTCTGTATTGGGACCAAAATTCTTTATTTTATATATCAATGAGTTGTGCCATGTGTCATCGATATTAAAACCCATATTGTTTGCGGATGATACTAATCTGTTTTGCTCTGGCTCGGACCTGCAAAAATTAGTTCAAGATGTAACTACAGAATTTAACAAAATTAGAATGTGGTTCAATATAAATAAATTATCCTTGAACATGAATAAAACAAAATGTATGTATTTTGGAAACAGTGCAAATAATGCAGAAATTACTATATCAATGGATGGCACAAATATAACACAAGTGAACAAAATTAGATTTTTGGGGGTCATTATGGACAATAAAATTAACTGGAAATCACATATTAAGTATGTGCAAAAAAAAGTGTCAAAAAGTGTTGCGGTCCTTAGTAGAGCAAGGCAGGTTTTAGATCAGCGATCGTTATATATTCTTTACTGTTCACTGGTTTTGCCATATCTCACTTATTGCACAGAAGTATGGGGAAATAATTATAAAACTAATCTGCAGTCATTAGTCATACTTCAAAAGAGAGCAATACGCCATGTGTATAAAGCAAGTTATTTAGAACATACCAACCCTCTGTTTCTTAAATCAAGATTACTCAAATTTTCAGATTTAGTCTCCTCTCAAACATTACAAGTGGTGTTTAAAGCCAAGAATAAATTGTTACCAGGAAATATTCAAAGGCTTTTTAGTGAAAATGAAGGTGTTTATGAACTAAGAAATAAAATGTTCTTCAAGTCTGTATTTATACAGACAACAAGAAAAAGCTTTTCTGTCTCAGTATCTGGAATAAGATTATGGAATAAGTTGCCAGTGGAAATCAAGGAGTGTGATAATATTAAGCAATTTAAAAGGAAATATACGGAAATGGTTCTTGCAACATATGACAATATGTAACCTTAAGTCATTACAATGAATATACATATATTCTTTTCTAATACTTTGACGATTAATCGCAAGTTAAATCAAGTTCTAATTGAAGAAATAAATTTAACTGTTGCTGTTGCTCCGATGTCATTTCTATAACTATTCTAATCATACAATGGTAACTTGGGGTAGGCGAGTCATGGGTCTGTTGGCTAGGGGTCCCCCCCTCTCAACGGGCACATAAAGCCTCGTCTTCTTAATGCACCACACGGTACAGGAGGTAAACATCATCCACCAAGTCTCAGGGCAGCTGGGTGGGGACTGGTTGATTGAGGGCGTCCACCCACTTTCAACAGGCCACTATACACTCTGGCTTTTTAACGCAACACACTAGAAAGGGTTTACAGTTTGGGCATGCCATTTTCATAATAACAATAAATAGTGGATAGTAATGACAACGAGGCAAGAGGGCAGAATACAAAATGTCTAACATGCCTATATAATATGAAA